AGGGTATAATGAACTCATAAATAATATATGTCCATCGGTTTTTGAAGTCAAAGTCTTTAGCTGGGAGAGAGTTATTTTGACATGCTCAGGATTCAAGAGTTAGAAATCCGAAAAATTGGACGGTATCTAAGCATACAATTCATTACAAATTCAACAGCCAATTGGGGTATAAAATATATATCGGAGCCGAGTTGCACAAAATGAAAACGTACATCCCGAAATTCACTCAATTTGGGCTGATATTAGCCATTAATTGCTCAATAAACCTGAAATCGGATTAGGAATATATATGGGAGCTATATTCAAATTTTAGCCGTTCTCGATAAAATTTGACAAAGGTATTTCCGAGCTTTATAAGATATCTGGTACCAAATATCATTGTTGTCGAATGAATACTACTTGCTTCCAGACTGAATTCGGTCAGATGTAACAAAATTCAATTCAATTAACCCGAAATCAGTTGAAGAGCGGGGGAGCTTTATACAAATTTGAACCGATATTGACAAAATTTGATACACTTATTTCAGAGCTATATCTGATATCTTGTACCAAAGATCATTGTCGTGGAATGCATATTACACTTCTAAGAGACTTTAAACCCTAAATCGGATAAAGCATATATATGGGAGCTATAGCTATAGCTATATCTGAACCGATTTATAATTAAAGTACTGGTTTATAGGATGAATTCAGTAGTAATTACCGAAATTCAGTCCATTTGGGCTGATATTAGCCATTTGGTGCAGAATTAACCCAAAATCCGTTGAAGATATATATGGGAGCTATATCCTAATCTGAACCGATCTCGATACAATTTGACAGAGGTTTTTTTTTCGAGCATTATCTGATGTCTAAATGTCATTCTTCTGAAGTGCATATTACGCATGCGAGGATCTTAAAACCCCAAATCGTAGGAAACATGTATATGGGAGCTACAGCTATATCTGAAGCGATGAAGCAAATTTGATGTACTTGCTTTTAGACTGAATTCGGTGGGATGTACCAAAACACAGGTCATTTGGACTTATATTAGCATTTGGGGCACAATTAATCCAAAATCGGTTGAAGATATATGAGAGATATATCTAAATCTGATGCGAATTTCATAAGGGTTCGTCTTGAGCCAAACAAATATTGTTTGCAAATTTTTTTCTCAATCGTATAATAAATGCGATCTGAATTTTGTTCAAAAAATACATGAACGGACAGACGGACTGACATGCATAAATTCACTCTATGAAGATCCTCAAAAGTAACTATGGGTCTATATCGCTTCTTTCTCCACGTTACATACAGATGCTCAAAGACATTATACCCTTACCCTCCTTTTCTTAACCACAGGCACCAACATTGACATCCACATCAAAATTTCAGGATTTAAGCTCCAATCCTTCAACCAAATTGTAAGTCCTATTAAGTACTTTTCGTACCATTATAGTACAGAGTTTCCAGACCCCCAGTACCGAATTTTGTACCATTTAGTCCTTTATATGTGTTCAAAAGTTACGGTCTTCCATATCACTGTGCGGCATATTGTTCAAAGCGATCTATCGCCATTTTACCAAGATTTTGCATTCCGTTTTGATTTTATTTGTGACTGTTTATTAATCCCATTTAATTTATTTTTCATGTTTCAATCTCACCATAACAAAGTACACCGAAAGATAAACCCTGATTTATTGATACATTCGCCACATTAAAATTGAGTTAAGAATTGACAATGTTTTCTTGATTTATACAATTGTTGATGTTTTGAAGTTAACAATTCACATCATGCTGATATCACCGAAATTAAGCCAAAATGAAAAAACAAAAACTACAAAAACAAGATGATCTAATCAAATTAGGGTTACCCATTTCGGTGTTTTCGACAAAAAGAAACACAAATATTGGCTGAGGGTATACGTCTGTCGGCAAAAACGACTGATACACTTTAAGTTGTTTTTGCCGACAGACGTATAGGCCAATATTTGATTATTTAAATATATTTTGACCTCTGCTATTATTGTTGACCCTCTATGGAGATGGTTCCGAAGGAATAGGCCAATATTGTCGAACCTAAATAAATGTGATATAAATATGCTTAGCTTCTGCTTCCTTCATTTTATATGAGATATGTGATAATTTTAAGAAAATGTTAAAACGTGCGTTTGTTATCGGATATAGTCGACTGATTTGGGTAAAATTACAAGAAAATCCAACATTTATATCCAATTTTATGCGAAATCATAAATTCCATATTCATCTCAGATTTCTGGTTGAGAGAAATATTTAGACATAACAATTTTAAAAGAATCGCTGACTTTTTTGACAATTTATGACAGATACAAGAACTGAAAATTGTGACCCTTTATGGGAGAGGTAAAGATATATATATATCATCTTAACAGCATATCTTGTGATAGCAAAAATGTTTGTATGTGTGAAATTTGAAAAGAGTTTCGCTTTTTTTGAGCGTTTTGTTTTTCAAAAATCTGGAACCCTATGTGAGGGAGGTACCAGAAGAAATAGTCCGATCTGTACCATCTTAATAACAGATCTTGTATTAATGAAAATATTGAGATGTACCAAGTCTTGATGGAATCGGATGTTAATTTCGTATTTTATGAGCTTCATGGATATTCAAAATTTGGCCCGAAGGAGTGGGCCGATATATTCCATCTCCACACCAAACCTTGAGTTAATAAAAATATTGTGACGTGTGTAATTTGAAGAGAACCGGATGCTAATTTCGGATTTTATGATCGTTTAGGTTATTCAAAACTTTGACCAGAAGAAATAGTCCGATCTGTACCATCTTAAAACAAGTCTTGTGTCAATGAAAATATTGAGATGTACCAGGTCTCGATGGAATCGGATGTTAATTTCGCCTTTTATGAGTTTTATGGATATTCCAAATTTTGACCCTCTTTGGGTTAATAAAAATATTGTGACGTGTGTGATTTTAAGAGAACAGGATGCTTATTTCGGATTTTATGATCGTTTGGGTTACTCAAAACTTTGACCCTTTGTGGGGGAGGTAGCAGAAGGAATGGTCCGATCCCTAGCATCTTAATAACAGATCTTGTGTTGATGAAAAAATTGAGATCTTGATGGAATCAGATATTGACTCTGTGTTTTATGAGCTTCATGAATATTCAAAATTATGACCCTTTGTTGGGGAGGTACCAGAAGGAATGGACCGACATATTTTACTTTCACACCAGACCTTGGATAAATAAAAATATTGTGATGAGTGTAATTTGAAGACCATCAGATACTTACTTCAAACTTTATAAGAGTTATAATTATTCAAAAATTTGACCCTTTGTGGGGGAGGTACTTGATGGAGTGGACCGACATATTTTATCTTCACACCAGACCTTGTATAAATAAAAATATTGTAAATACTTCAGATTTTATAAGAGTTATAATTATTCAAAACTTCGACCCTTTGTGGGGGACCAGACCTTGGATAAATAAAAATAATGTGATGTGTGTAATTTGAGGACAATCGGACTCTGACATTACATTTTATAGGAGTTATAATTATTCCAAATTTTGACCGTTTGTGAGGGAGGTACTTGATTGAGTGAACCGATATTGTCCATTTTCGCACATTTTTTTTTTTTGATCTAGCAAAATCGGATTATCCTTTCTCTTTCTATGCAGTAAATTATTTTCTCTGAAAATGTTGACATTTTGTGTGGGAGGTACCAGAATGGTACCGATATTGCCCATCTCCGAACTCGATCTAAGGTTGACAATAATATTACGATGTACCAAGTTTGGATCAAATCGGATACTGCCTTCGAGAGCTATCGTGAGCACCAGACAGACAGACAGGCGGAAGGACATCGATAGATCGTCTCCAAATTTCCTGAAACGAAACGATATATAATAAAATCCACCAAGTTTTTACTAAATTGGTTCAGATATGGCGTTAGCTCCGATATATGTGTTTCCTCCGATTTTATAATACAAGCATTCTAAGGTCATAAAATGCACTAAAAACAGATCAAGGCTTAAATCGTGACTTCGGCGTGAAAATTCAACATTGTTGTCACTTGTAGCTGACAAAAGGGTTTGTTCCGCTAAAAATGGCAACACTTCTTCACTTCTATATATTTGTTTCATCCGGGCAAAAGTATTCAAACTTTACTTGATGGCAACCCTATAAACCACTTCACAACTTGTTGTGGCAACCAAAAAGGACATCATCAACGAACCATCGAACCAAAATATATTTACCGCCACCGGTCGGTCACAATGCCATGTGGTGCGATTTAAAATTTCAGTCAGGACTTGCAACTCGAACAGAAAGTTACGTTTTAAAATAGCTAAGCGGAGTATTTTTAGTGACCAACGGCAGAGTTCAAGTACTTGAATTTTTCAAATAAAACTCAACCAAAAAGTAATTTTGTGAAATAAAACAAGAACAACAACAACCCATTAAACAATGGCAAAATTTATTAACAAAAGAAAAATCAGTTAGAATTTCTTCTCCATCGCCTTGTTATCGGCAACGTATCTCTGATATCGCAACGGTGGTCGAGCTGGTCATAAATTTATTTTATTTAAACAGCCAGCTGATTGTATGCCATTTAATAAATCTTTACAAAATTTATATAAATTAACAACAAAAGAAAATTAAACAAATGCGAAATTAGAAAAGTATATTAACTGGATTTTCGTGTTTTATTGCAAAAAACAAAAAAAAACAAAAAAACACAAAACAACATCGCTGAGGCAATCACGCACCCAAAACACACAAACCCAGAACGAGAACACTCACACGTCTGCACAACACACCTGTTCACCAACAACAAAAAAAAAAAACTACGAATTTTGAATGGGTTAAGTTCAGTGCGTGTCCGAGTCCGGATCCGTGTGTGTCCATTTGTTTATTTGTCGCTTGGCGTTCAGGCCCTCAGCCGTTACGTTTATTTGGCCGTCGGTCGCTGGTACGTGTAACGTGAGCATATCGCCAATTAAGAGAATTTGCCGAAAGCGATTTGGGTGTGTGTGTGTGTGTTTTTGCCAAACGTGTTCATTGACGAGCCCCCCCTGCAGCGAGTGTCGGTGCGCTGCTGATGGCCATAACCAGCTCTACATTTACTTAAAATCGCTCACACGCTGTTTCTAAAGAACAACAACAACAGCAGCACCATCAATAAGTTGTAGTAACAGTAGCACCAGCAGCGTGAACAATAACAATACCAGCCGCAGTAAAGTGCAATATTTAATGTTTGTGTGCGCGCGTGTGTGTGTGTGTGTTTGTATTTTGTTTTGGGTGCTGTTGTAAGAGCGCGAATGTTTACATTTGTGAATGAAGAAGAACATTTATGATTGGCACGACGACACAGTGGGTTAGGAATGCGAAAGCTAAGGAAATATAATTTTTTGGAAATGTTATTTGAATTTTATAAATTTTATTAAACATATATACCTCCAACGAAAGGTAAAAAGTCGGGCGGGGTCAACTATATGACACCTTTCACCACCATGCACCATACATTTATATTGGGCATTTATGTGAGGTAGATCATACCAACTATCAACAGTTTAAGAATACGTTTTATGGCTTCATAGCAGTTGTAATTTCCACCAACAAAAATTTACAGAGTCATTAGCACCTCTCGTACCATAAAAACATTGATATAGAGTTCACGATATGAGTTCGAGAAGGATTATATTAAAAAAAATGTATTTATCTCAGCAAAAGATCTATGGGAGCCGAGTTTCACCCAAGGGAAAAATCCAGTTTGGTGCACCAAAACAGTGAAATCGGATGAACAGATACATGGAAGTTATATCCAAATTTGAATTGATTTCGATAACAATTGGCCGAGGCATTACTGAGCTGTATGAGATATAGGGTAACAAATATCATTGTTGTGGAGTGCATATTTCGTCGGAATGGTTTCAAATTTTGTCTTTGAAGATCTTAATGTATTCTATTGCCTATGGCAAAAAAAAATACTTATGCAGGTCCACGCCTTCGTATAGCACCCGTATAGAGTTCACCATTTAAATGGTATTTTCGAAATTTGTTGAAAAATGTCAAGTTCCTTCCAAATGGTGGAGGGTATTAAAAGTTCGGCACGGCCAAACGTAGCTGCTCTTTTACTTGTTTTTATACCCTCCACCATACTATGGAGGGTATATTAACTTTGTCATTCCGTTTGCAACTCCTCGAAATGCTCATGTCATTTTTGATCAGCGTAAAATTCTAAGTCGATTTATGGAGAGAAGTCCGTCCGTTTGTCCGAATCGAGGTAAAAGACTAAAAATTTGTACAGACGTTTATTTTGCTAGTAGGCAGGTTAAGTTCGTAAATGAGCCATGTATGTAGGTCCACGTTTTCATATAGCCCCCATATAACGGTACCTCCCGATATTCAGTTTTTTATTAATTTTACCGACATTATTCAACGGAATTGTTTCAAATTTGGTATTTGAAATTCATAATGGATACTACAGCCCATGACAGAAAATTGCCTGCGCAGGTCCACGTCTTCGTATAGCCCCCACATAACAGTACCTACCAATATTCGGTATTTTAATGATTTTAGCGTCTTTATTCACTGGAGTAGTTTCAAATTACGTATTTAGAGTTCGTAATGGGAACCACAATCTGTGACAAAAAATTGTCCAGGTCTTCGTATAGGCCCCATATATCAGTACCTCCCTATATTCTGTATTTTGACGATTTTAGGTACAATACGTACCGAAAATGTTTGAGATGTCGTATTTGAAGTTCGTAATGGATGCTACAGCCGGTGGCAGAAAATTATCCATGCAGGTCCAGGTCTTCGTATAACTCCGATATAACGGTGCCTCCCTATATACGGTATTTTTTCAAGTTTCGAATTTGAATATGGTAATGGCTTATGAAAAACAATGCCACGTGTAGGTCCTCGTCGTATAGACCCCAAAATAACGGCTATATTTGGTATTTTTAAAATTTAAAAAGATTTTTTAACGGAATTTATTTTTGGAAAATTTTGAAATTCATTCATAATGGTGGATGCCCTGCCGAACTTACTGCTTTTTATTTATTTATTTATTTTTCTTTTTTTTTTTTTTCAACGATAGGGATCACGAGAACACTGATTGTCATCTAATTTGGCACCGTAATTTAATTCTACTCAAGAATATATATATATATATTTTCTAAGTCTGCAACGAATATTTCGATGTGCTGCAAACGGAATGACAATTTTAATTTGTCCTCCATTGTATGGTGGAGGGGATTAAAATATGAAACACGCGTATCGCCGTCTTAAATATTTACATCGGAAGGTAACTTAAATAGAGCGGTGAAGTTATGACCATTTTTGAAAATGTTTTTAATGTAATTTTCATAAAAACCTAGAAATAGGTATATATGAAACTAATAGTGAATTTTTCTTCACATTTTATCGGACAAATTAAGAAATATTTTTTTTTTCATAAAAATTGGTACAGATTTTAGTTGATATAGATTTTTTATCTTCTGTGACATACCTCCAAAATGATATTTGGTTCTGTACATATGTTGGTGATATATCGATCTTCCTATCTCGCCGAGCTGAGACGATTTAGCTATGTATGTCCGTCCTGTATGTCTATCTGGCTGGTGCGCACGAAAACTGTCGAAGGGAGTATCCGATTTGGTACATTGTAATAATATTATAAAACTTAGGCCGAGTTCGGAGATAGACGATACCGGTCCACTCCGTTTGGTCACTCGAAAGGTCGAAATTTTCAAAAAAAAAAAATATTTTACTGCACAAAAAGAGAAAGGATGATCTGATTTTGCAGCAACTTTGCAAATCCTAATATTTCCATCAGTGCTAGCTCAGGTGCGAAAATGCGAAATTGGCATCCGATTGTCTTCAAATTACGCTCATGACAATATTTTTTTTAACTCAAGACCTGGTGTGATGATGGAATATATCGCTTCACTCCTTCTGGTACCTCCCCTACAAAGGTTCAATATTTTTAATTATATATCTCAATATTTCTATGAGCACAACATCCGTTATAAAGGTGGTATAGATAGGACCATTTATTTTGGTACCTCCCTCCTACAAAGGGTCAACATTTTAGCTCCAAATTTTTAATAACAAAAACGATCATAAAATCCGAAATAAGCTTCCGGTTCTTTTCAAATTTCATACATACAAACATTTTTGCTTACACAAGATCTGTTGGGAAGATGATATATTTCTGCTAAACCCTTCAGGCATCTGTCATAACTTGCGAAACAAGTCAGAGATTCCTTACAACTCGCTATATCTAAATATTTCTCTTAACCTGAAACCTAAGACAAATATTGAAATTGGATATAACTGTTCGCTTTTCTTGTAATTTTGCCCATACCAATATTTTTATCTGTATTTAATGAACAGAATGCATCGGTCGACTATGTCTGGAACCGCACGCACATTTCAACATTTTCTTAAGATTATCACATATTTCACATTAAGTGAAGGAAGTAGTCGATATAGTTCGGTCCGGTCAAATTTACTATTTAGACATTTTCAAAAAAAACACGTAAAAAAACAGTAAGTTCGGCTGGCCCGAACTTTGGATACCCTCCACTATTTGGAAAGAATTTGGAAATTTCCAAAAAAAATAACATTCGTCAAAAATTCTGTTAAAATCCTAAAAATACCAAATATAACCGTTATATTGGGGTCTATACGAAGACATGGACCTGCATAGGCAACTTTTGTCATAAACCATTACAATATTCAAATGCGAAACTTGAATAAAAAAATTGGTGAATAATGTAGCTATAATCATCAAAATACCGAATATAAGGACGTACCGTTATATTGGAGCTATACGAAGACGTCGGCCTGCACAGACAATTTTCTGTCTTAGGCTGTAGTAACCATTACGAACTTTAAATACCAAATTTGAAACAATTCCAGCGAATAATGTCGCTAAAACCACCAAAGTATCGAATATCGTGAGGTACCGTTATATGGTGGCTATACCAAAACGGAGACCTACACCACCCACTTTCAATACCAAAAGTTCCGCAGACATAATACACATTTGAGTAAAATTGTATCAACCTTCTTCATTTCGTTCGGAAGCTAGAGTGATTTCCACAGATTTTTATACCCTCCATCTTGGAAAGGAGGGTATATTAACTTTGAATATATTCATAATCAGTATAAAATTCTAAGTCGATCTAACGATGTCCATCTGTCTGTCTGTCTGTTGAAATCACGATACAGGCCACATTATTTGACAGGCACAATATTTAGCAGAATAATTTGTATTGTTCCTAGGATGGTTGGTATTGCAAATGACATATATCGGTCCACGTTTTGGTATAGTCCCCATATAACGGTATCTCCCGATATTCGGTATTTTGATGATTTTTGCCGCATTTTTTCACGGATTTGTCTGAAAATTGGTATTTGTAGGTCATAATGGGTCCTATTTTGTGTGGCGAAACATTGTATGTATAGGTCCACGCTTTGGTATAGCCCCCATATAACGGTACCTCCCGATATTCGGTATTTTGATAATTTTTGTCACATTTTTTCACGGATTTGTCTAAAAATTGGAATTAGTTGGAATTTCCATCACCCTAAGTTGGAGGGTATTAAAAGTTCGTCCCGGCCGAAGTTAATGTTTTTTTTTTTTACTTGTTAAGTTTGTAAATGATCATATCTGTGGTATAGTATCCACACTCTGAAGCATATGCGGTATTATTTTTCACAAACCGGACTAATATTATTCCAAACGAAGAGAATTCCCGATTTAGTCCCAATATGTACATTTCTACTTTTTATACACAAAAATTCCGCACAAAATTGCCTGGTGATAAAACCAAAAATTAGGTTAATCGAAAGCAATGACTCAGCAACAGGCACAGATCAAAAAAAAAATAATACCAGTTTTAACAAAATTTCAAGTGCCAGCCAACCACTTGCTAATCGAACTTAGCCAATCAAGAACATTATTAATAAATTATTGCAAAAAAAAAAAAAAACACAAAATACAAATAATTTAGCCTTTTGCATGCAACAGTTGTTAATTATCGAATTTAGGTGTTAAAATTGCACAAAATGACAGCAGCACATTTCCATATTAAAAAAAGAACATCTTCTTCATAGCTCATGCCATGTATTACGAACGAACGATCGAAAAAAAACCAGTTAATTTACTGACAGTGAAAAAAAACACTTATCGTCATGTTGTCTAGCCTTAGGTGGGGGAGC